TATCTAAGTGATAGGATTTTAGTAAAGTTAAAGTTCTGTGTGCTTTGTCTATATTATTTAAACCTTTGACATTTAGTATTGCAATTTTGATTTTTTTAACCATGATAAATAGGTTGATAATATAGATGAAGGATAGTTTAGTAAGGGTTCCTTCTGACCCCTAGGTTATTTTTGGGTTTGTTACCATTATCTTGCGGGTTTATAAGTTTTGGACGACTCTTGGATTTTTTCTTTGAGGAGACCAAAGTAAAGCTGTCTCCATCTTTGAATGCTTGATTCAAGTCATTGTTATATGAGGCCACCAGAGGGTCTGGTAATGAATCCAGGTTGGAGATAAAGTCATTTTTTTCTACCAAAGCAATCCCCAGCTCTTGCATTTCATTTGATTGATTTTGGTTCTGTGCTTCTACTGTTTCAACTCATGACAGCTCTGATTCAATTTTTTCTTTCATTTCTAGATCAGTTGGACTAATGTTTTCTTTAAGTTCATCTATACTCATGTTGCATTCATCTCTCGGGTTGTATGGATTCTCTGGGCTTAATGCCAGAGGCTCTTTCTTTTGTTGAAGCAGTTGTTCCTTTTCTTGCTTTTTTTGCATTTTGCGATTCTTATGAAGGTTTCTAATTTCTACTGATGTTTTATATTCTGGACATTCCTTTTTGATATGCCCTGTTCTGTCACAAAAGTAGCAGAGTTTTGGAGCTTCTCTCCAATCTGTTGTTACTTTGTGGTCCCAGACATGTGTAAATCTTGGAATTCTATTTGCAAGGTCTGGGTCATCTGTTGTCTCAAAGATTACCACCCATTGGTCTGAGAGAACTGAAGTCCTCTTATAAACTAGTGGCTTAATGGAAGATATAATACCTATGTCTTGGAAGGCCTCCTTAATGCATTCTGAAATGAAGTCTTTCTTACCCATTGGGGTATTACGAAGCCTAACTGACAAAAAATTGCATCTGATATTAATTGGGATATATCCTTGAATATTTTGTTTAAAGATTGTTAGGCCCTCAGTTGCATAGTACTGTTGTTGTTCTTCATTTGAGAAAACCACTTCTAGATGAGTTCTTTTGTTCTTGATGATTATTGGTTTAACAGCAATTAGGTCTTCACCTATTTTATTTTGCATTGCCTCTACTATGTCAGTAGTAGGAATATTTTCTAAGCTATGAATTTCAAAAATTAGAGCATTCTCATTCTTGGTATTTAGCCTCTTTCTAGGTGAATAAGTTGAGTAAGTTGCCTTTCCTCTTTCAAGTTTTGCAAAAATATTTGATCACTGTCTAGATTTTGCAGGCAGATCCTTCGAGGTTGATTGGTCACTGGTATGCTCTGTCTCATGATCAGTAGCATGTTCTGTTTCATAATTCAAGTTAGCCACGTGATTCATGTTAGCCACATGCTTCATTTGTTTTGCTTAATGTTCTGATACATGACTGACTGTGGTCACAAGTTCTGTTTGTTTTGCCATATTTTGATGTGTCTTGTTGGATAAAGTAGACAGAGTGATTTCTTCTTGCACTACTTTTGCCTTTCCTTTGGTGTCATGATTTGCATTTGTGTCTTTAACTATTTGTTTATTGTTGAGATTTCTATGCTCTGTTTTGTTGTTAATGCTCTTAGTGCTATTGTGAGAAACCTTTAAAACTTCTATGTTTTCTTTGTTGTTTGCTTTCGTATTGCCAGATATGACAGATTCTACATTCGAAGTTCTTGCTTTTTTAACCTTTCTATTTTGATTACTGACTGGAATACTTGACATGGCTAAGCAAGCTTGCTTTCATTTTCTGGGCACAAGGGTTTTAGCCCTTGTTACTTTTTTTGTAAATGTGTTATATGAGTTTTTGATTATTTTGTATATTGGTTGTTCTTCACTTATAAAAAAATGAAGAACAGGAAAGAGTTTTTTTTGTTTAAAGTTTAAAAAAAATTTTAATAAAAACAATTTGCTTGATTTTTATTAATTCATTTCTATATATTGCATTTTCTGTAAAACAAATTGAGGCTTGTTTTTCTACAGAAATCCAAGTTAGATCAATGAATGAAAATTTTTTATTTGCTTTTTTTGCCTTTTGAATTGAATAATATGAAGTTTTAGAGTTTTTTTCTTTTAATTTACATTCTATAGCATGTTTTACATGCTATAGACATAATTGGATATTCGTTTTTTGAGATCAAACATCTTCTATTGCTGCAATTTGCCTAGTATCTTTGTCAGTAAGAACAAAAGAAGGTAAGATTCCTTCTTTTCTAATTAATCAAAAAAATTCTACAAGAACTTAAGTTCAATTATTAATGCTATTTATTAGGTCTTGTAAATAATTAGTTAATATAATAAATGTATCAAAATACAAATAAGCAAGTGGCATCCCGAATTCTCCACAATTAATAATTAAGGCAAATAGTTCAAATTTTTCTTTATTAGTTTTAAATATGAAGTCAATAATAAGTTTACTAATATTGTTTTTTGAAATTTTATTTATAAACAGTATAATGAATCCAAGCACTTTAACAAAATTATTTTCAAGATGAAAAATTAACTTATAACTTTCATTAACTAATTCTGGTTGTTGCATATAATTTTTTATGGACATTACTTGGTTTTGTATATTTAATATATACTATCTAGCAGAAAGCTTAAGCATCCAATAATATATTTGTTGATATATATAAGTCATTGAGTTTATAAGCTTTTCATTAGTAAGTCTTTAATAAAATTCATTTACATGTAGTCTGTTGTTTAGATTTAATTTAATCCAATTAATAGCATTTTGAGGTAATTTAATTGAATGATAAGTTGGTTGTTCATAAATCATTAAATGTTCAACTAACAATCTAACTTGCTTTATAGAAATATTAATTTTTAAAAGGATCTGCATATACTCTTTCCAGACCACACACGTTTGGAAGTGAAGTGAAACTAAATGGAAAAATAAACTACAACAACAAGACAACTAATCTTAAAAAAGGTTTCAAAGCAAGGGCACTTGCCCTTGTTACAAGAAAAAGTTCTTTTAAAGCTTTTAATGATACAAAAAGCTTTGGCACTATGGCAAAAAAATGAAAAACAACAACAAATGCTGATAAGGAAAACACCAAAAATGAGAAGCCTATACAAGTAGAAGGCAATAACTCAGGTCACTAGAACATTTCAACAAAAGCAACCCTAGCTGGGATGAACAAGTAGCTCAAGAAACTAAGGAACTCAAGGAAATAACAAATACACAGAAAGAAAAACTTAAAGAAAAATAGAACATACATAACAAAAGAGAAAATCTCATCAGTAGAAAGAAATGACAACATAGAAACACTGTTAGAACAAAACAACAATACTTCTACACATAATGAAGAGGTTATTGAAGTCAATACATGTAATAAAGAGGTCTTTGAAACTAGTATACATAATGAAGATAACATCCAAACAATAACACATGACAAAGAGGTCTCCAAGACTAGTACAGGTAACAAAAACAACATGGAAACAACAACTCAAAATGAACCAAAGAATGAACAAGGGGACTCCACTTTGTAAAGAAATACAACTTCTAGTTCCAGTAGAATAACTGAACCACTAACAAAAAAATGGTCAAGTCTCTTTCCCAAACTTAAAAGAGGCCAGTCAACTTACTCATTCTTTTCTCCAAGAACACAATTAAATCAAAGAATGAAAATGCTCTCATTATTAATATACAAAGCCTATAATACTCTTTTAACGAAATTATGGCATCTTTATTTGAAACAGCTAAAAATAACATCATTGCAGCTAAACAACATTTTACTAAAGGAACACAATCATGTTTAGAAATTATCTTCACAGACAAAGAAAAACTAAAGATCTATGCAATATAAGGTGTTAAAATTTTCAACAGAACATATTTTGGATATGTTCCAATGGATATGAAAAAATAATTCTTACCAGTTAAAATCAGGAATGTCCCACTAGGCAACAAAGAAGAACTGTCAGACTCAATTAAAGATGCTTTTGAGAATATAGGTAAAATAGCATCGATTAAACCCCTGTTAATTGAAGGTACACCCTACCTAACAGATCTGTGGGTTATAATTTTTGAGACCACAGAGAATCCATTTTTAGAAGGCAAAATACCAAGATTTACCCATATTTGGGATAACAAGATCACAACAGAATAGAAGGCAGCAGCAAAAGTATATTACTTTTGTAAAAAAGAAGGGCATATTAAAAAGAAATGCCAGCTATTCCAGGAATCTGTAGCCCTTTACCAACAATATCAAGACTTTAAAAAAAGAATTGAATCATACAACAAAGAAAAATCAGCTAATATCAGGCCAGAACAAGAACCTTATGCAGGTAGTTCTGCTAACAAAGAAGAAAACCCATACTTGCAAGATGATGCATCTATTATAGATGGTGTGGGCTTACAAAAAAATGATTTAATACAAGATGAACAAAAGGGGCCTTTGTTACCTTCAATAGAAATAGACAATGATAAAAGAAACTCTACATCAAGTAAAGATAAGGACCTCTCATCTGACCCAATATCAGCACCATGCAATGAACTGGCTGCACTGTATCTTAATGCAGAACTATAGGCAGGAAACAAAAACACAGAAGAAACATCACCTATAATGGAAGTTGACAATGAGGAGACCCCTATGCCATCTCATAAAAAAGACAGATAAAAAAGAAAAGAGCTTACAGGATAAGAACCAATTAAGGCCTAGCCCTTACAGAAAACAACGTAATAAGGGACTGGCCTCACAGACCTAATTGGTCAAAATTCTTGTACATTTATATGCCTCCAAAATTCAAACTTAAAATCACAACTTTGAATGTAAAAGGACTAAATGACCGAGGCAAACAGCAAAAAACATTAACACTCTTAAAATCCTACAATTTAGATTTAATAATGATACAAAAAACTAATCTCAACAATGAAAACACTAAAAACTTTTTAAAACACCAATGGATATTTGACTCATTCTGGTCAGACAAAGTGGCAATTCTGGCTGGAAACAGAAACATTACCTTTAAAAATATGAAAATAAACAATGATGGATGAGTTATTACAGCATTATTTGTCTACAAAGGTCTTTTATTTCATATTACTAAAGTGTATGCACTTCCGAACATTAGCAACAGAGTAACATTTTTTTGACAACTGGACTCCTCAAATAAAAGAAAACACAATAAACATTATAGCAGAAGAATTCAACATAAACCTAAAACCTAAAGCAGACAGAATAAGTCAAGCAGTACCTCAGCCAGACCCATCAAGAAACCAACTGTTGGATTTAACAAAATTGCAGGCTCTAAGCCCTTTCTCACATTTAACCAAAAAACACAAAGTGGTAACATGATGGAAACATGTTTAGACTACATATTTATTGATGAAAATCAATCACACTTAGTCTCTAAGGTTGCTATGCACTTTGGTAACTCTAGTTAGTTGCTCACTTAACTCCAACTAAAAACGAAAACAACCATCTAATTGGCATTTTGATAAAACCATGTTTAATAATAAAAAACTTAAAAAAAGAGGTCTTAGAGGAAATTAGTGAACCAAATGCAACAGAGGATTGGAATCTTTGCAAGGTCTATATACAATCGATTATAAGAGCATTTAAAAAGCCAAAAACAACAGAAAGCAAAATCTCAAAGCTTAACAATGAAATAACAAAGTTAAGTAAAAAAATAGCTGGCTCCTCTAATACAGAAAGCTTGTCTTCATTTTTAGATGAGCTTAATGTACAGCTACAAGAGGAATTAACAGCTTTGGCAGAAAAATGGCATATCTATTTCAAAGTGCAATGAATAGAACAAGGTGAAAAGTCAATAAAATATTTTTTTGCAAAATATAAACAAAGGAAATCCCAAGCAGCCCACTTAGAAATTAAAGTTCCAAATAGTAATCATCAAAATAGTAAGGACATTTTACAGTATATTAAAGAACAATATGCAGAAACCTACAAAGCAGAAGAGTTTGACAAGAAAGCAGCAGAAGAAATCACAGAAAACCTTCCACAAGTACAATATGAATATGAATCCAATAATGCTTTGATCAAAAGAATTACACAAGAAGAAATAATAGAAGTTATATGAAACCTACTAAATAACAAGTCCCCTGAAATAGATGGTTTAACTTATGAGTTCTACAAACTTACAGAAAAAACAGTAGCACCAGTTTTGGAGAAGATCTTTAATAAAACTCTAAACTCTGGCATCCTTCCAGTCTTATGGTGCAAAAATCTAATCATACTAATTCTGAAAAAATCAGAAAAGCTTGACAATATAAACAACTGGAGACCTATTTCGCTAGTTAACAGTGATGCAAAAATCTTTATAAAAATCATAGCCAACAGGTTAAATTTAATCTGTAATGATATAATTCCAAGCCACCAACAAGGCTTTATTATAAACAGGTTTATAACAGACACAGCTCTTGATATCTTAACAACAATGAGAAACCAAAAGGATAACTCTAAGCAACACTAGATGCTATTTGTTGATCAGCAAAAAGCATTTGACAGAGTAAATCATGAGTTCTTGAAATTAGTACTAAACAAAATAAACTTTGATCCAAGATTTGTTAACTTAATCAAAAACCTCTTCACTAACTAGGAGGCCCATATAGTAGAAGGAAATAACCTATCTAAATCCTTTAGAGTAGAAAAAGGTGTGCGACAAGGAGATCCTCTCTCTCCTCTTCTATATGTATTAGGATTTGAACCAATGCTAAAACAATTAAAAAGAAAACTCAAAGGAATCCCACTAGAAAAGCAGTTCTTTAAAGCTACAGCATATGCTGATGATCTGACGATTGGCATAGGATCAACCACAGACTGTAATATATTGAAACAAATATTTAAAACATATGAGCTTGCATCTAATGCAAAAGTTAACAAACATAAAACTAAACTAGTTCTACTCACTGCAAGTGCTAGACAAGTCAGATTATCAGAAGAAGAACACTTCAAAAAAGTAACAGAACATGAAACATTAACCATTCTGGGATATATAATTCAACCCAATGGACAACCTAAAAAAGACCTATGGCCAACAATGATCAAGAAGCTAAAAAGCTTCTTAGAAGGCATAGCCCAAAGAAACCTTTCACTTAAAGGGAAAATATTAATAGTTAAATTACTAATAATCTCAAGAATTTGGTATACAGCATATCTTCTACCACCAAACAGAAAACAAATAACAGAAATCAATCAGATAATTATATTATGGATAAAAAGAACTTCAAAGATGTTACCTAAATACTCAGTTTTTCAGCTTTTTGCAGACCAACAAGGACTAGAAGCTCCGATCATGAAAGATATGCTTGATACAAGATTGCTAACAGTTTGGCTAAAGCTCCTAACAGGAAACTTTTTATGGTCTAAATTCAAGAGAGAAAAGATTACAACGATAATAAAAGAAAAAAGAAATATCTCAGTTCTACAAGCATTGAAAGGATTACCAATAAAATCAGCAGCTTGGCCAACAGAATGGAAACCATATATTCTTGCCTGGAAAAGAGTAGAAGGAACAGTCAATGCTTCTACTGATTGGCTTTGGCATAAAGTAGACCTTATAGCAGGAGGAAAAAAAAGAAATGAAATCTTGGTAAAAAGTCTAGCAAAATTCTTAAGAAAAAAACTACAAATCCTGTAAATACAAACCTGGAAAGAAGCCTTATTAACTGATGGTTAGATGTAAAGGCAATAGAAAATATAAAAAAAGATATTGCCTGGTGCCTCTTTTACAGAGCTCTTTCACTTGGTTATCGACTGTGTCATGTGAGCCCAGAAGAAAGTGGTGACTGTATATGGTGCATTGACGAACTGCAAACCATTGAACATTTTATTATAAACTGCAGAATCAGTCAAGAAATTTAGAAGCTAGCTTACTCCTTTCTTGACACTGGACAAGCCAAACATCTCTCCAGAACACTAGAAGAAATCTTTAATGCATCAAACATAAAGAGTAAAGAAGGATTACAAACAGCATTATGGCTGCAT